AACCAGAGGGGAAGCATGTAGAGGGCTGATGGGTGGGTAGCAGAGGCAACACGTAACCAGCCACCGCCTGGCGCCTGCCCGCACTCACCAACCACAGCAGCTTGAAGCCAGTGCCAGCTGGAAACAGAATCGGGGCGGGCCCCTGCTGGCCGAGAGCTGGCACGCAGCAGTGGCTGCCCTAACAGATCAGCAGGGGAGTGGCTGGCCCTACACCTTGCATCTTCACCCCCCCACCGACCTTGCACACCCACCCCCATTGTTGCCCCCCTCCCCCCACCGCTGGTGGGCAGGCAGCTGGCAAGCAGGGATCCAGCCAGCAGCAGGACCCACCAGTACTGCCGGGGGGAAGGGGGGGGGGGACAGCGGGTGCAGAGACAGAAAATATTGGATAATTTGCCCGTTTTTAAGAAAAAGTCAGGATACCTGCACGAGGGCTTAAATATGGGACTGTCCCTTTAAAAAACAGGACATCTGATCACCCTAGTGTTAGTATTACTTAGTGTTCATACACACTATGGATTAGCTGTACACGCAGAGCAGTAATTTTTGAAATCCAGAAGGTTCTGGGTTGAAGTTGGAGGTGAACTCCTTCCAAGTAGAAACCGCAAGAGAGAGAATTCTTTATTTTTCACATATTTAGCTGCCTGCCTTTATAAATATAACACGCCATCTTTATTAACTCACTGAATTTAGCTTTCCCACTATGCACTTACGGAATGCATCACTTTGTAACAAATCCATTTATTCACCTCTTCCACATTACCCAAGAGATACTGTGACGGTGCACCCCATAAGGCTTTATGGAAATATGCTTATGAATGTATATATGACATAACTGGAACATATGCTATGCTACATATGCTATGTAACATTTATGTAAAGGTTATGTATGATCTACTGAATATATTCATCCTATTTGAATACAATGACACATGCATACAAAGGTATGAATATTGGCTATATACTTTTAAATTAATTGATTTTAAATAGCCTTAGTAAAGCATTTGGTCAGCTTCTTGAGAAAGGAATGTGCACATTAAGTGTCTAGTCAAGAAACACTTAATGAACAATGGATCTCGGAAGTCTCCAATCCACGCAAGAGTCTTCCTGGAGACATTCAAGATAGCATGTGGGCAATGGCTGCTGCTTGTAAAAACTGAGTCATGCATGGACATGTGACTTGCCCATGTGACTCAAACTCCATCTTGGAGCTGGACTTTGCATAGGAGAGAGGAGGGGGGTCTCCACCCACAAAAGAAAGTCTATTTAAGCCCATGGGAGACCCCTCCATTTTGTCTTCAGCTGGCTCAAGAGATAGCCGTTCCACCTCCAAAGTATGGCTGGAAGAAACTGAAACAAAGGACAGTAACCGCAGGGGGCGAGAGTGATTACTGAACCCAGACTAGAAGGAGACTAGTCTGTAAAAGGAAGCTTACTGGAATTCCTCTGAGGGTGAGGTTTTTATCTATATTCAGTTTTCTTACTGTATTAGGCATAGACTTGCATGTTTTGTTTTATTTTGTTTGGTAATTCATTTTGTTCTGTCTGCTATTACTTGGAACCACTTAAATCCTACTTTCTGTATTTAATAAAATCACTTATTAATTAACCCAGAGTTAACCCTGAAAGGGGGCAAACAGCTGTGCATCTCTCTATCAGTGTTAGAGGGCAAACAATTTATGAGTTTACCCTGTATAAGCTTTAAACAGGGTAAAACGATTTATTTGGGGTTTGGATTCCATTGGGAGTTTAACACTCAGATGCCCAAGACAAGAACACTTCTTATGCTGCTTTCAATTAAGCTTGCAGTTTGTGGGACATGGTTCAGACCTGGGTCTGTGTTTGTGGCCGGCAAGCGTGTCTGGCACAGCCAGGCAGGTCTCTGGAGTCCCAGGCTGGCAGGGAAAGCTTGGGCAGTAGTAGTCTTGCACATCAGTTGGTAGCCCCAAGGGGGTTTCTGTGATCCAGCCCGTCACATATACAACATTCCCATGCCCCCACTTGATTAACCCATATTTGTGAACTGAATGCCACATTTGCTAGTTATCACATTGCCCAGTATTATGTGATCATGTACATAAGAGGCAGTATTGCAATACATAAAGGCAAGGGAGTTAAAGCTTCCCTGGGAATCTCAGATTTGAATGTCTACATTTCGTAGATTCCAAGTCTCAGATATAATGTTCAATTGATTTAGTTTTTTTTTCCCCCTTATTGCATAGACATATGACTCCTTAAACATTTGTAACTGTGTTACAAGTAGATGGTAGAATTGTATTGAAATTCTTCTCAGAAATGCTACTGTATAATAAATAACCCAGCTGTAAAGAAATAAATGACATCAAAAAGCAAAGAAAATGAGCAGAGGAGATAAACTTACTTCACAGAATGAGACTGAAAAAGGATGTTCTCCATTCCAAAGATTTCAGAAAAAGAATAGAGCCAGGCAGGAAGACTCAGAGTATAATCTGAGAAAATAAATGTAACACCAATTTAACCAGGAACAGAACTATGTTTTCTTCAGGAAACAACAAGCTTACATTAACACTAATTTCAGAGTGGTACCTGTGTTAGTCTGTATCAGCAAAAACAACAAGGAGTCCTTGTGGCACCTTAGAGACTAACAAATTATTTGGGCATAAGCTTTTGTGGACTAAAACCCACTTCATCAGATGCATGGAGTGAAAAATACAGTAAGCAGTGATATATATATATATATACACACATATACACACACAGCACATGAAAAGATGGGAGTTGCCTTACCAAGTGGGGGAGTCAGTGCTAACGAGGCCAATGCAATCAAGGTGGATGGCCATTTCCAACAGTTGACAAGAAGGTGTGAGTATCAGCAGAGGAAAAATTACTTTTTGTAGTGACCCATCCACTCCCAGTCTTTATTCAGGCCTAATTCGATGGTGTCCAGTTTGTAAATTAATTCCAATTCTGCAGTTTCTCATTGAAGTCTGTTTTTGAAGTTTTTTTTGTTGAAGAATTGCCACTTTTAAGTCGGTTATTGAGTGTCCAGGGAGATTGAAGTGCTCTCCTACTGGTTTTTGAATGTTACAATTCTTGAAGTATGAGACAGAGTGGATGTGTCACTACAAAAAGTAATTTTCCCTCTGCTGATACTCACACCTTGTCAACCATTGGAAATGGCCGACGTCCACCTTAATTGAATTGGCCTCGTTAGCACTGACCCCCCCCCCACTTGGTAAGGCAACTCCCATCTTTTCATGTGCTCTGTGTGTGTGTGTATGTATATATATCACTGCTTACTGTATTTTTCACTCCATGCATCTGATGAAGTGGGGTTTAGCCCACAAAAGCTTATGCCCAAATAATTTGTTAGTCTCTAAGGTGCCACAAGGACTCCTCGTTGTGTTAATACTAGTCTACTCCTAAGAAGTTCTGAGCACCTGCAGCTCCCAGTGAAGTGAATGGCAGCTACCAGGGCTCAGAAGCTCTCAAAATCAGGTGCACTGTGCTTTAGCCTGAGTGTGGCTCAGCAGAGAATCTCCTGAGGTGTCAGGAATCACTTGGCCTGTCTAGCTATACTACTTATAGGGTCTCCATTACCGTACTATCAGAGCACTTTGCAGTCTTGATTGCATTTATCTTCACAGCACCCTTGTGAGATAGGGAAGTGCTGTTATCTAGAGCTGCGTGAATAATGGATTTTTCAGTTCATGGCTAATTGCAGGGGAAAAAAGGAAGATTTTGGATCATACCAAAAATGAAATTTTTCAACATTTTCAGCACAATGGAAAATAAATATGTATGTTTCTGGTCAAATAAAATGTTTTGTTCTAACAAAAATTACTGCTAACACTGCTTTGATTTCAACTATTTTAAAATTATTTTATTGTTTATTAAAAGAAACTCTGAAACAAAGTTGTTTTGAACCAAAAAAAAAACCCACTTCATTGTGAAAATGTCAAAATATTTTTTTGTTAAACCTTTTGCCCCTAGTGAGTAGCAATGCAACAAATGAGGGAATCTGAGGCATACACAGACTTCATAAAAATATTACAGAAAATTTCTCACTTCATCAGACTAGATATTTGGCACAAATTTGTCTATCCTTAGGGCTCTCAAATTAAGAGGTACATTAGGCGGTGAGCAACGTGTGCCTCCCACAAGATCTGTTCTGTACGAGTACTGATTAATTTAGCTTTCTCTTACCCAGTGGGTCAGATTTTAATCTCATACTGGTGCGAATAAGGAGTAACTTGAGAAGCTAATGGAATGACACCAGTGTAAGTGACATCAGGATCATGCCCATAATTCTTAAAAACTTGTGGGAGAAGATTGTGTGTATTTGTTACAAATAGCACATGACAATTCCGGGTCTGATTCTTAAAAAAAAAAACAAAAAAAAGAGGGGGGGGGAGGAGAAGAAGGACTAGGAATGCTGGCTGTAACGTATGGTACAGTAAGGGTGCTGGGGAAGTTTCCCCATACAGCTCTGCCAATCCACTTCAATCCTCATCTGACATACTCCCTGCTATTGAGATGATGGACTTGTTTTGTGGTAACATGAAACTGTTGCATCATTGTTCAGCGTCAGTAACCTTATGACAACTAAGTCATTTACAAGGAATGTCAGAACACCAGGCATGCCCAAATGCATCAACACCACACTTGCGGCAGGCTCTATTAGTAATGTCCTAAGATGGTTATTATCTCATGCCTCTACCTAGGGTTTGTCATCACTAATCTGCTGTATGACTTTTGACGTTTTAGCTAAACTTTGTTCCTGGTCACAAAAGAAGATTATTCCCTTTTTACGTGTTCAATTTCTTTTCAATCAATTCTTAGTGTTCATGGAAAGTGCCAGATTGAGACCACAATCTAATTAAATAAATGCAGCCCAGGCAGCAGCTTTGCAGACTTCCCCAGCCTACCTCACCAATAGATCTCAACTCTGAACTGGAGGTATTACCTCTAGCCATGAGAAGGTTGTTTCATTCTATATGCTCATTCAGTCCTTGGTTTCTCTGCTGAAATTGTAGGCTAATGGTGGGTTTTGTGATGTGGAAACCACTCCACAAAACACTGCCCAGAGAACACCAATGCGTTCATGTGGGCAAGCACATCACCATCAAGTAATAACCACTTTTGGCCACTCCTGACCTGCGGCTGGGTTTAAACTGCTGATATAGAAGTATGAAGAGAATGCAATGGTAATCCACTTGTTGATTGGAACTTGCATCTTTCCAATAACTTCACCTTCCTCCCCTCTCTCAAACCTATTCAATTTCTAAAATTATATTTTAGCTCACTTTCTATCCTTTCAATTTCTTTGGTTTTCTCTGAGTGCGGAGAAAAAAAAGACCAGACCACAGTAGGGATCAATAGGTGTAGTGCAAATTGACTCAAGTCAATGGAGCTAACTGAGGATGTGGCACAATGTGTCTGCAAAGAAATTCAATACAAACAGGTGATTGTATATGGTGCACAGAGAGATTGCAAAGCTGTTGTGGAAGGAAACAAAGCTTGTAATGAAAGCACCAACACAAAGAATTCCAAAAAGTTGCACTTGTATCCTGGCCAGAGAGAAAACCCCTACAGTTAGTGTAGCTGCAATGAGATGTTAACGTGGAAAGGTGGAAGTCATTTATGACTACATTTGTAGCTACTTTCAGACTAAGATGCAGGAATTAGTTGTATTCTCAACAATTATCAGTGAGGAAGACGACATTCTAATATCTTTCTATTTGCGGAGCTATTTTATTATAGTTCTTAAGTCACATTTCTTGGGCTGGCTGATGTTATGAAGAACTGGGGCCTGAATGGAACCTCATTAATGTTAGTGTAGCTAAGCTCAGACTCACGCACCTGGAATCTAATGAGGTCATTCCTGTTCAGCCAGTATGCATTCTGTATGGGATGTCCAAAATTCTGCAGTGTACATCCTACTCCTGTCTCAGACACTCCTATTTTAGGTACATAAAGCCTCTCAGATCATGCAATTACAAATGAAATTGTCCCCAATGCCCACTCTCCCCCCACCCCCCGAAGTATTAACCCCAGCTAAGCAAAGTAAAATCAAACTTGTACTCACTCAGTTTCTTATAGCTCCAGTTCATGTAACAAGATTAATGAGGTATTATCTATTTTCCTTTCAACTAAATATTTTGCAAAATATACCCTAGTATATTGACTAGTATGTTATTAAATATCAATGATAATTAAAACACACAATGCTCGAAACAAATGAAAGGGATATATTTTGGGGGATAGTATACTTGTTTTTTTATTATTTGTTCACTAGCTAATTTGCAAAATTCAGTCATTTACTGCTGTGGTTCTCAACCGGGGTACATGTAGCCCTGGGGGCAAGGGTGTCGAGTTGTATGGGCCTGTGGTGCCCATGCTCCACCACCGGAAGCACAATGGGGCTAAGGCAGCTTCCCTCCCACCCAGCTTTGCTTCCAGCATGTCCCTGAGGCCCCTGGGGCGGGGTGCGTGTGTGTGTGCCTCCATGTACTGTCCCCGCCCCCAGCGGCGGCCAATGGGAGCTGCAGGAACAGTGCCCGCAGGCAGCAGCGCGGAGACCCCTCTGGCTCCCTGCCTATGAGCTGCTGCCAGAGGGGAGTGCAGGTCGCTTCCAGGAGCTGCCCAAGGAAAGTGCTGCATCCCTCTCCCACACCCCAACACCATGCTCCAGCCTAGACTCTGCACCCAAACTCCCTCCCAGAGGCCAACCCCCGCAACCCCTCCCGCATTCCAACCCCCTGCCCCCACACCCAAACTCCCTCCCAGTGCCCGTCCCCTGCACCACCTCCTGCACCGCAACTCCCTGCCAGCCCGCACCCTAACTCCCTCCCAGAACCCACCCCCTGCCCCAGCCCAGAGCCCACACCCAAACTCCCTCCCAGTGCCCATCCCCACACCCCAACCCTCAATTCCTTCCCAGAGCCCGCACCTCAATTCCTTCCCAGAGCCCACCCCCAGTCCAGAGCCCACCCCCAGTCCAGAGCCCTTCCCCCCCCCTCCCAGAGCCTTAGGCAGGGGGGCAGGACTTGGACCTGTTCTGGGCACCACCAAAAATTATACAAACCTGCCACCCCTGCCTGGGGATACACAGAGGTCTTCCAGAGGGTACATCAACTCATCTAAATACTAGCCTAGGTTTACAACAGGCTGCATAAAAAACACTAGCTAAATCAGTACAAACTAAAATTCCATACAGACAAAATGAGAAAGTAAGCAATTTTTCAGTAATAGTGTGCTGTGACATTTTTGTATTTTTAGGTCTGATTTTGTAAGCAAATAGTTTAAGTGAGGTGAAATTTGGGATACACAAGACAAATCAGACTCCTGAAAGGGATACAGTAGTCTGGAAAGATTGAGAACCACTGATTTGCAATATCTCAGTCATTTGTGCAAGGATCTGTTGTGTTGACTTTATAACAACAACAGGAAAGTGAGTACAGTTTTCTACCTAGTAGTCCTTTTTAATTAAAATCTTTAACTCCTGATAATCCTTAGAGAAAAGTACAGTAAACCTAAAGCACAGCAGACTACCCTTAATAAGCAGCCTTCTATGAGACTTCTCCAAAGTATCCTCCTATATATTTAAATTACATGAGATTAGCCTTTAAATTATTCATCAGTAGTAAGATCGAGTAGAGGGGAAAACCCACCACTGAGATTGCCTACTAGCATAGCACAATTTTAGTGGTATATTAAATTTCAGATCTAAAAAGATCTTGTTAAATCCAAAAGCTTGTCTCTCTCACCAGCAGAAGTTGTTCCAATAAAAGCTATTACCTCACCCATCTTGTTTCTCGAATATCCTGGGACCAACACAGCTACAACAACACTGCATACAACATTGCCTCTCATGATATTTGGGGAAGGAGGAACGTGTTTCAAGGCAGTGGTCCTGTACTGAAGATTACTTTATAATTTCAACACCATAGTTGGCTCAAACAGTTAAAAATCCCATCACTGAGCTGTTAAAAGTGGACTTCTGAGCTAAAACACTGGAGTTTAAAGGGGCTAAAATTTCTGAAAAAACAGCTTGTTGCAACTCTAGTCAACTTATTGCTAAGGGTGCTCAGATTTCCCTGCTTTTGAGATTCAATTATTTATCAAGACAACAGAAGGCCTGCTCCTGCACTCTCAGAAATTAATGGGATTTTTTTCACTGACTTCAATAGGAGCAGGATCAAGCCCATACTATCCCGCTGCCACAATGCTGATTTATTCCCACAGCTAAAGGAAGAAAGATAGTTAGTGATTAAGGCTCTGTGTCGAGAAATGTGGGGTCATTTCCCAGTTCTACCATAGACTATCATTTAATCCATTTATATACATCTGTAAATGTTTCCCCAACTTCCCCGTAGTGTTGTAAGAATAAATTGGTAAATAGTTGGGAGATGCTCAGGTACTTCAGCAATGGAGGCTACTCTTTTTCTGCTGCATGGTTGGTGCTTTATTTCACCTCCCTAGGGCCAGACTGTGCTGCTCTTATTTATGTTGAGCAATCTTTGCACCACAAGTACATCCCACTGATGTCAACAGAACGTAGGGTGCAAAGTACTATTCGATATTCATAAGGGCATCACAATCTGGCCCACAGTTAATAAATTAGTTAAGGGCAAGATAATTTAATTATTGTGAGCATGGAACAGATTAAGCTGAAAAGCATTGATTACACAAAGCTTTTCTTGTACAGCACTAGTGTACAAACATGAAAACACACCTCCTCTAACTTCACACACCCAAAAATGTTTAATGTTTAGCTGGAGAGTCTCTAGGAAGTCATAAAAGAAATCAAACACCATGTACATGCAGGTTTAAAAATAGATTAGACTCTAGCATGAGCCAATACTCTCCTACAAAACCTTCCAGCTTGTCTTTTTTTTCCTCTGTACCAAAATATGGCATATAAAAAGGAACACAATGAAGATTGATACATAGTTGGTCTCTACATGGAAGTATTTAAACTCATGCAGGATATTAAACATTTAAAATGCCATGTTGATGGATAAACTAAAATGAACCTATCCCTGTGCTGCCCTACACACACACACTCACTCACTCCAAAAGAGAGAGAATTACACCCAAATTCATCTGCTTCTGGTGTTGTAATGTGCAATACAGTCATAGCTTTCCATTCAAACAAGCTGACATGCCTAGCAGGCATTTACACTGAAAGCCAGTGATCTCTCTACATCGCACTGCCCTACAAAGACCACCAATGCCAGGAAGCAGCCCCGGCCCGAGAATAGCAGCTGGCTACGTATCCCCTCACCGCCAACTTCCCAGCACTTGACCTGTCGTACAGCTCCCAACAGGTGCACAGCGGGCGCTTTTGCAGGCCCCCCGTGGGGGCGGGCTGGCCAGTGACGGTGGGGCGTGGGGGCGCTGCCCAGGGGAGCCAGGGGCGGTGGCTCTGTGTGTAGGGGGAAGCCCGCAGGGGGCGGGGGCTGGGCTCACCTCGCTTGTTCCTGGTGCCGTGCTGCTTGGCCGCGGCCAACTCCCTCTGGATCCTGGTCTCCAGATACTCCTGCTTCTTGGTGAGCATCTCCTCGGTCTCCCGTAGCCGGGCTAAGGCCTCCTGGGGCGTGGGGCCCGCGCGCCCCTTGGCGCGCCCGGGGCCGCCGCCCTTGAACAGCTTGCCGAGCTTACTCATGGCGGCGCGGGGGCAGTGGCGGTCCGGGCTCGGTGCTGCAGCCCCTGGGGGTCGCTCAGCGAGCCGCCGGCGGCCCGGGCATTTCCCGACTGACCGGCCTGAGCAGCGCTGGGAGGAGGCGGAAGCTGCTGGGCAGGGAGGCGGGGGACCACGTGACGCTCCCCACACCTGGGCCAGGTGTCACCAGAGACTCCGCCTCCTCTGAGCCCTTTGGACCCTCTCTGCGCATGCGCCTCGGGGGAGGCGGATGCCCAGGGTGACCCCCTGCCCGGCTGCTTCTTCCCCTGGCCCCAGTGAGCTGACCCCAAGCGGGACCATCGACGGCGATCGCTCTGCCCCAGGCCAGAGTCCCCCATCTTCAGCTGTTACTGGGGGGCTCACCCTCCCTGCACTAGCCTGGTTCAGTTATGTTCCCCTCCATTGGCAGCGCCCTGGACGGTAAAAAGGAGCTGGAACCCCAGGCTGAGGCATCACCTCTCCCATTGCTCGCTCCTTCCCAATCCCTGTGCAAGACAGATGGGCAATTAGTGGGGGGAAGGGGTCAGAGAGCTGAGCGGCAGAGGGGATGGGCAGATAAGAAGCCCTCAGTAGTGAAATAACAGGTTAAGGACTATTTAGAAAAGCTGGACATACACAAGTCTAGGGGCCGGATGCAATGCATCTGTGGGCGCTGGGGGAGTTGGCTGATGTGATTGCAGAGCCATTGGCCATTATCTTTGATAAGTCATGGTGATCGGGGGAGGTCTCAGACAACTGGAAAAAGGCAAATACAGTGCCCATCTTTAAAAAAGGGAAGAAAGAGAACCTGGTCAGTCCCACCTCAGTTCCTGGAAAAATCATGAAGCAGGTCATCAAGGAATCCATTTTGAAGCACTTGGAGGAGAGGAAGGTGATCAGGAGCAGTCAACATGGATTCACCAAGGGCAAGTCATGCCTGACCAACCTTATTGCCTTCTATGATGAGATAACTGGCTCTGTGGATATGGGGAAAGCAATGGACGTGATATACCTTGACTTCAGCAAAACTTTTGATACGGTCTCCCACAGTATTCTTCCCAACAAGTTAAAAAAGTATGGATTGAATGAATGGACTATAAGGTGGATAGAAAGCTAGCTAGATCATCGGGCTCAAAGGGTAGTGATCCCTCAATGTCTAGTTGGTAGCTGGTATCAAGCAGAGTGCCCCAGGGGTCGGTCCTGGGGCCAGATTTGTTCAACATTTTCATTAATGATTTGGATGATGGGATGGATTGCACCCTCAGCAAGTTCACGGGTGACACTAAGCTGGGGGGAGAGGTAGATATGCTGGAGGGTAAGGATAGGGCCCAGAGTGACCTAGACAAATTGGAGGGTTGGGCTAAAAGAAATCTGATGAGGTTCAACAAAGACAAGTTCAGAGTCCTGCATTTAGGACAGAAGAATCCCATGCACGGCTACAGGCTGGGGACCGACTGGGTAAGTGGTAGTTCTGCAGAAAAGGACCTGGAGATTACAGTGGACGAGAAGCTAGATATGAATCAACAGTGTGCCCTTGTTGCCAAGAAGGCTAACGGCATATTGGGCTACATTAGTAGGAGCATTGCCAGCAGATTGAGGGAAGTGATAATTCCCCTCTATTTGGCACTGGTGAGGCCACATCTGGAGTATTGCGTCCAGTTTTGGGGCCCCCACTACAGAAAGGATGTGAACAAATTGGAGAGAGTCCAGTGGAGGGCAATGGTAATGATTAGGAGGCTGGGGCACATGGCTTATGAGGAGAGGCTGAGGGAACTGGGCTTATTTAGTCTGCAGAAGAGAAGAGTGAGAGGGGGATTTGATAGCAGCCTTCAACTACCTAAAGCGGGGTTCCAAAGAGGATGGAGCTCGGCTGTTCTCAGTGGTGGCAGATACAGAACAAGGAGCAATGGTCTCAAGTTACAGTGGGGAAGGTCTAAGTTGGATATTAGGAAAAACTATTTCACGAGGAGGATCCTGAAGCACTGGAATGGGTTAGCTAGGGAGGTGGTGGAATCTCCATCCTTAGAGGTTTTTAAGGCCCAGTTTGACAAAGCACTGGCTGGGATGATTTAGTTGGGGTTGGTCCTGCTTTGAGCAGGGGATTGGACTAGATGACCTCCTGAGGTCTCTTCAAACCCTAATCTTCTATGATAAGAAGCTGAGGAGGAGCAATAACAGGTGAGGGGGTGGATGAGCAGGAAGAGGGGCATTGGGAGAAAGTTGCTAATGTTGGTTGGATGTATTCATGGACATAATGACACATGACAATCCTTAATAAAAGATTCATTTAATTCCCAGAGATGCCAGGACAATATGTACATGCATATGGGCTGGAAGAGCAGAAGTGGGGGGCTGTATGCACATACATATAGGGCTTGAGGAGCAGACTAGGAAGGTGGCGGGAACAGAAGAGCAGACCAATCCTGGGTGCAGAGAGATGGACAACAGCTGCCTCTGCACCTGATGGGGGCTGGCAAGCAGATCACTGGATTAACCATGGGTTCTAAAATGGTGCTGAACACAGTTTGCCTTTGGTTATGCTTGCATTTAAACCATGTTCAGCAACGTTTCAGCTGCACTCATTGCTGACCCCTGGGTAGTTTTCACAGTGTAGAGTACAGATGGCACAGTGCTCCAAGTTCAGTGCTGTGCAGGCTCACCAGTTACAGTAGGCCTAGTTGTGGTGTCACACTGCTCCATCATCACACGTTTCAGCTGACCCATATGAGGAACAACCTGTGTGCACAATTCCTGTGGTCACGTATGCCATGTTATACTAAAGACCTGTTAAGGAGCAGAGCTGGCACAGAGCAAAGCATCTATTTATTGTGCTCTTATCTATTCCTTTTTCATGAGCTATGCACAGATCCTTGTAGATCTGAAACATGCCTTTATTGACAGTCACACAATCTTTAATAACATTGCATAATTCAAATCTTATGCAATACAGTTATTTATTACTATTCACAATATTCTTCACATGCTCTTCTCTGCAGAAATAGTAGTTTTATTATTACTGAACAAAAACTTCCATTTTCACAATTTCAGACCAAAAGAGTAAAACAAAAATTAATAAAATAGAAAATAAATAAGTTTGACTTCCACAATGTTATACAATGTTACTTGAAAGGAATTTAATAACCTTATTCTTAAGGCTGTAAGTGCCCAATTCAACTTTATTCTTTACATTCCAATAACATCCATAATGTGCTAGTGTGACTGGGGTTCCACAGGAACCACAAAGAGGTTACTCAATTAGGGTAAACTGCAAAGAATGGGGCAGACAATCCCCGAAGCTGGTGGATATTCCAATATGTAGATTTACCAAGCCAGCACAAACAGCTTCTATAATACCTTACTGGTTACCCAGAAGTCAACAACATAGTTCCCTTAAAGCAACCCAGCCTCAGGCCTCCACCCAGACACCCAAGTCAAATATGATGAGGATTACTGAATATCTTATTCATCATAAGAAAGTTCTACCAATCCCAAAGGATCAGACACATTACCGGCCACGTTAAGAAATATTCCAGATCTTACCCACATACACACTTACAGCCAATCCTTATTAACTAATCTAAAATTTATTAAAAAAGAAAAGAGAGAGAGTATTGGTTAAAAGATCAGTATACATACAGACATGAGTACAGTTCTGAGATCAGATTCATAGTAGAAATGGTGAGCTTTGTTGCTGCAAAGAGTTCTTTCAGAAATAGTCTATACGTTGTAGACCAATGTTCATATTCTGGGTGATCCAGATGGGACTGGAGATCTCAGTCTTATGACTCAAGCTTCCTCTGGATAAAGCATCAAGCAGATCTGAGATAAAAAGGATCAAGACCCAAGACTTCTTTATACAGTTTCAGTCCTTCTCTTGACAGCTCGGAGTCCTTGGGCGAACAATAGGCAATCATGGAGACTTTGAAATAGACCTATTTCCTAAGCATCACTGGTAATTAGTTGCAGGGATTAACATAAGGCAATTGCCTGTTTTCCACCATTCTGAGATGATGGCTATACATTTCAAAGAAAGATGGATACAGTGATATCACTATATTTATAGTTAATTTAAATGTTAAGGTTTCCTTTTGAGCTCTGAATTAACAGGATACAGCATAGGCAGGGACTGTTTGATTACATTGTTAACCTCTAACAATCTATATGTAAACATATAAAACACAAATAATATCTACCAATATGTCCCTAAAGGTTGAATTTGGGTCATTTATCCTGCAGGATGCTTAACCCTTTCTGGCCATGTGTCACAGCTAGGCTTTTCCCACACCCACACACAAATACACAGTCCTTCATTAAGAATCTAACTAAATAAAGCTTTCTAAAAAGTTTCTCAACAGCTTGTGCAATTTTTTATTTTCCAGCTTCATGCTGTAATGAGTGTTTTTAATAATTATGCCTATTTCTTATATAGATCAGTAGATTTCAAAGCACTTCATCTTTTAATGTATTTAGCCTTACCACACCTATATGAGGTAGGGAAACATTATTATTCATATTTTAATGGTGGGGAAACTGAAGCACAGAGAGGCTAAGTGACTTGCCTAAGGAACACCAGATGTGCATGATAGAGCTGGGAACTGAACACTAGTCTCCTATACCCAGGCTAGTGCCCTAACCAGCAGACCATGGTACCCCTCAAAGGGCAAACTACACACATAGGGAACTCTTTCAGAAAGATGACCATTCTTATTTTGGTTTCACATAGCTAAATTGCCAAGAATGTATTGTTGATTCATGGATCCAATAAGAGACACAACAGGGGACAGATTAACGTGTCTGCCCTCTGACTTCAATGGAGCTCCTAATACAAGTACTAGATTTGGCAGCAAGTGTTCCCGGAAGACATATGCCAGATGTTAATCATGTTGCTTAGTGCACTACTGGCATATGCTCAGCTACAATGGTGATGAGGCTGGTATAAGAACCTGAATAAAACAGAATAGGATTGGGCAAATAGGTTGTAAATTGATTGGGACAGAGACTTATCAGTATTCAAAGCACCATGCACATGTAAGGTGCTCTATAAGTAAATAATAATATCCTAACTTAAAAAAAAGAGAGTTGTCCTCATTCTTTCCCTTTGCACTTATATACTTCTGAAATTTGGCCCCGTTCTGGATTCTAAATTGAAATGAAAATGTAGATGCAAAAACTGAACAACTGTCCTTATGTTAAAAAAATGTGGATTTAATTTA